TGGTGGCTTGTATACTAGACCCCTCTCAAAATGCGATATCGCCGTCGTTAAAACAAGTCTCAAAAGCGCGATTACGTCCTAAACAACATATCTAAATAGCAAGCCTCAACTCGCAAAATTGAGGGAGCTACGACCAAAAATGTGGCTGGTCATAACAACCTGTCGCGCACTGTATTAAAGACTCCATATTATAGAGGGCCAAATTTGGGACTATTAGAATAAATCGTAGGCGGAAATATGGGATGGCTGTATCTATGAAGAGAACACCAAAGCCAACATGAACACTTCAAATAAAAGATTGAGCGTCGTGGTGCGCTTAAGGACCTGCCTAGTGCTTGCCAGGGCTTTTTCCCCCACGTAATCAAATGGTATGACCAAATTTGTCAGAGATCTAGTATATCCTTCGACAGCGCTACCAAAAGGTTGGACCGCTGGGCACCTGTTACTCTCTTCTCCGAAGACGATCTCCATTACATACTTCCTACTACTAGAAGCAATTAATACAGTAGTGACAGACCGCGCGTAAAAGTCGCGATTTTCGTGAGCCGAGCGGTATCTGTCGGCAACGCGAGTCCTGAGTGACACTTCACGGTGTCAGAATACTTGTGTGTCGGCTGCTGGTGTTCACGCGACGCGCGTGGCAATCTTCGAGAGGCGACGTGACTGGAGACTCCGCTCCCCAGTGAAGAGCATGCATGTAATACACTGCACACTGTACAATGCCGACGCCGTGAAACAATATATAATCGTACAAGTACATGTATCACATCGCTGTGTGCAATGTCAAATCCCAAGCTCAAACAAAAATTCTGGGGCATGGCAGGTTTCGCAGAGAGATCGAGCAACCTTCGTGGGGCCTTTACATGCAAATTGCGGTGCAATGAGGCCATCCAATTCGTCGAGGGTGGCAAATTGAGAGCGCTTCCATGAAGCGGCTTTGGGATGAATCTGTCAGATGGCGGCGACCATGCGACTTGGTCGTAGTGGCTGACTAGGATGACAACGCATTTCTTCGCTGCCAGTAATGTGAAACGCAGCATGTTCCGGTGTCTGCAGCTGCGGGCGCGTCAGATGGCATGTTGTTAGTCAGTTGTACACATTTAGTACTGTAGATGTCATCTACCCGTGGAGAATACTACATGTACTGGGTATACTGTACGCCTTTAGTGGAGCATTCCACGGTGCATCTAAGACTCTCGATAGAGGCCACAATGCAGCGATACACGGACAGAAAAAACACGAAAATGTCCAATCTGCACCCAGCTCTCCGAACAAGTTCAATGCCACACGCCCGGGTAGGCATGCTCCAATGTTCAAAGTCACACCTTTGCTAACTTATATACTTTTGAATCCTATAACCACATGAGACTATCTGTAGCACATGCACCTCTTATATACAATATTCATTCAGCATGTGAACTTTAATCATCCGAAATGAAAAGGCGTGTTTTTGCTTCACACCCGGTGTGTAACAAGGATTTCCCATCAAAAGCCGTGCAAGATAAGCACGCGAGCTCAACGAAATCTGCCAAATTCACCGAATAACATCCGCTTGACTCAGCTCACAAGAATTAATTGCCTCCCCGAAATTCGGTCTATTTATAAGAACCAACCTGACTAAAGATTGCGGATTCATTTTATTATTAGCTGATAGAGCCAACCAACCATACGACACATTTGATAGCTGACAGGTATGCTGCACAGGACGGCTGGTACGAAGACACTTGCCACGTGCGGCACGAGGGAGCTGAGGTAGAGGGAGCTCATGTAGAGGTTGCGTCTCTGACTTCGGACACGCTTCGGGAAGAAAAATCCCTGCGCAACTTCCACATCAACGCGACGAGCTCCCCTGCCCCCTTTCTGAACAAAGCCGGTGTGCTGTTCGTAAAAGGATTTGGTTGACAGGGCAAGCATGAAAGGGGAAGCAGGTATCTTGACCAACGCGCTTTGGTCGAGCAAATTTTGGAGCTCATTCAGCAATTTGCCGAGCCGAGCAAAGACATTTGCTAATTGGGAGCCCGCTTCCAATACTACCTGACACCTTTCAAGCTTCACGAAAGTATGCAGCTCTCCCGCATCATCGCGCACATTGCGCTTGCTGCGGCGATTGTCGCCTCGGCGACGTCGCCCACTGACGCCGCCTGGGGCTGGATGACCGAGAGCACCAACGAAGTGAAGACCGACAACGCCGTCGAGGCTCTACACCTCGAGCGTAACCTGGGTGCTGGTGGCGGCCTGCGTGGCTCACAGGCGCAGAACACGCCAAGCGAGGGCAACCAGGACGACAACTACACTGGTCAGAACACCCCGAGCCAGGGCAACAACAACCAGGGCGAAGAGGGCCAGCACGAGCAGAAGGAAGAGGGTGACCATGAGCAGAAGAAGGACGAGAAGGATGAAAAGGATGAAGACAAGAAAAAGAAGGACGAGAAGGAT